AGGGGGGCTCCAGGAAGTCTCCACTCTCAGAGAGCCAAAGGCACTGGGGGTAAGAGGGGTTCAAACACAGCTCTGGTATGAAAATACAGATACAAACAAAAATGATTTTGTTTGTTAAAGACATACAAATACAAATAAGATTGTCTGAACACCTCGTCTTGTTCTCCACAGACTGTCCAGATACTGATTGGGATCATGACCTATTTGTTTGGGATTGTGTCAGCAGTCCACTTTAACACTGTGTCTGGCTACAGTAACATCAGCCGCTGGGGATCAATGATCGTATGTCCACTTTGGGTTGTTTTTCTGATCCTGGATGCTTTGACTCTTGTATAAAAAAATGATAGGGGGATATTATAATGCCCTTGTAAAACTCTTATTATGCCTATCCAGCCAGTAGTTGGTATTTAGTTGGTTGCTTGTTACTTGATAAAAAGTTATCAAGCAGTAACTGAGGTAAAACATTTACCTGGGCACAGTCATTTGTCTATTATACGGTGATGTATTACGTAAGTCAAGACCATGAATTAACCCTCTATTGCATGATGTCACCTCAGATTAACAGATTCATTTTCATGACTTTAATTACATGATACTTATATGTTGACAATAAAAGGGTTAACAATAAAAAAAAGAATGGTTTGAATAAGCCAACAAATTTCTTTGTCACCATATCATTCAGACTTTCTCTTTTATGTTTTTGCTTTTTTTCTTTTCCTTTTTCCATGAGAGCACAGCTACAGCCATGAGCAAAAGTTTGAACAACCCAAATCAAATCACATGTGTTGTTGACCTTCTAAAAGAAAATAAGTTAACACATCCTCTACAGGGAACAAACTAAAATATGGCATTAATTTTCACATTTTAGTGCACAATTTCTATGTGTTTGATGAGTTTAACATGTTGTAAAAAAATAAAATAAAATATGAAGTATAGAATGTGCCATAACTCTTTCCACTGCCCACATTTTATATATTATTATTTTTTCCAATATGTTAAATTCAGCAAATGAACATATGTTCTTGCAGAAGTATGTTCTCTGTTAATGACATTCATTTATTTTCACTTTGAAAACAAACCAAACATATGTAAGTTGAATAGGGGCAGCCAAAGTTTTGCATGCAAATGCCTGTAAAGTGCGGAGCATTTTAAACCAGAAGTTTTAACCACACCACACGCAGTGTGCACCTGTGTTAATCAGCGTAACCACACACAAATTTCAGCTTTACACTTTGAGCCTATTTTGTGCCGTCTGCCTCTAGAACATCCCACAACATTTAACTCTTGAGTAACTTATTTGTTAAATTTACTATTGTTTTGTTTATATATATATATATTACAAGAAAGTAATGTTTTTTTTAATTATTTAGAAATGGCTTTATATATATATATATATATATATATATATATATATATATATATATATATATATATATGTATATATACACTCCATATATCATTTCATTGTTGCACATTGTTGCCTCAAGGCAACGTACCCCAACATTCTTTGGAAATGATATTTTATTTTAATAATTAAATCCATTTTTACAGCACTCAAACATTTTAAACAGTGTAAGTGTTATGAAACATACTATAAATGGTAATGGGTGTGAAACAAGCTTGTGTTTCGTTGCAGTTTCGTATTTTCTGTTCAGTGATAAACATTGCACAGCAAAATTGAAGTAACGAATTCTGTGGTTTGAATGTGGGCTATCCATTCACTACCCCCCTCCTCAAAGTTACACAAAGAATTATGATGTACACTAGATAAATAAAAGTGCTGTGGAAATGCTTAATTCACCTTACTTACTGCTTAATATTGTAGTAATTAGCAGACAGCTCATTAGTACTTATTGAGTATTGACTTGTCACCTGCTATTGGCTTCAAAATTATTAATAGGGGGGCAAAAATAGACTCTGAATATAATGTGCAAAAGACTGTTTATAACACACAAAAGCAGAAAATGTGTTTTATGGAAAATATGTATTTCACTTAAGATGCTGCTGGATAATGTAGTAAAAAGAAAGCAGTTAATTACCAACTACTGGCTTGATGAGGCTTAATAAGGCTGTTGAATGGCATTATAACAGCTCCTGTACTGAAGTGTTACCAGAAAAACACAGTCTAATTCTTGGGGTCCTCTGTGTTTTCTATGACAGTATATCAGCCCTGGTGCTCTGACAGTCGGTGCAGCGAACCAACCTCATTCATTTGTGGTATGTAAATAAACCCTTAAGTTAAAAAGTCCTCTACATGGAGCTCAATGAAATATGGCATTTTCTTTTTATTTGTTGAGTTTAACATATAGGACATACAAATAAACATAACATGTTTTCTGTATATGATATGTTATGTACACTTATTAACAGTACAATCAACAAAATGTAATTTGACTGGGGCACCCAAAGTTTTGCATTCAGCTGCGTTGTAAATTAAAGAGATTCTCAGCTGTAATGATGGAAAAAAGACCTTTTTTACATTCAGACTAGACATGGTTTGGAATATTACTGATTTACAAATGTAGCACAGTTGTGTGCAAACAGAATTGTGAGGCAGCCAGAGATTCCCACCTCTAGTAAATAGAGGTAAACAGCCATAAAGGCCATCACAAAATGTACACCACAGATACATTTATATATTTACAACAATACAAACCAGGAGGGACGTGAGAGATCTGGCAGCAGAGATTGTAGCTCATCTGTTGATGCACAGTTTGTGCTGACTATCCACTAACCCTTTGTCAGTAGTCAATTGCTGACCAAAGAGCCACTCTTGCCTAGATAATTTTGGGTAGTGGTGAACTCTCAACCTAACAGTGACACTACCATGTCACTCCCACTGCTGTGCTGAGAATGGACCACCCCAATAATAACTGGACAACAGCAGTCCTGTGATCAGAAACTGATGAATGGGGGAGAGAAGGGTTTTAAACCATTGCTACTCTGAATGCTGTTCTGTTTCTCCTCTTGTGTAGGTGAGAAGTTCCCTGGTGATGAATATAATCAGTGCTGTGGCTGCAGGAGTAGCCGTCATTCTGCTGTCTGTCGACATGATTCATCCTTTCGATTATCACATTTATTATCAGGTGAGGGAAATCTGAGGACTTTTAACTGCTCTAATAGTTCTTGATTCTCTTTAGTAAAACAGAGCTGATTTTCATGGCTAGGTTTGGTGCTTCTCTGTTTTCCTAGCATCTGGTTTATTAGAGCGTCACTCAAGAAACAACATTTACCTAGTTCTGAATATTATTTTTGTCATTTAAAAAAGTACTTTATTATTGCAAACATGTACTTTATTCAAAGTTCAAACACTACCTTTTTGATTTTTGCATTTGTAAGTGGTAAATAAATCACAGTCTACACTCCCAAAGCAACAGATCTGTGCGGTCAAAAATGAAAGATTGGCCAATTGATACATCTGTTATAAACATACTAACCTTATACAGTGAGTTCGCAATACTCTCAAGAATGAGATTTTAGGGCTTAACCCATCAAAATCCCAGGCTTATTACATACTAACTTCAATGGAAACTGGCTGAGCTATTCTGAGGTTATAGAGGTGCAAAACCTTGGGCCTGCTGGTAGGCCCTGACCATTTAAAAGTTGTAGACTAGAAAATACCCTTCTGATGATGTATTTTGAAGATGGAGCATATGAGGTCACTGAGAGTGGACCCGCAAGTAAGGTCATCTACGGTCATCTACTTTGGAAAGCCCCCCAATGGGCAGAATATGCATTTTTAGTGCCTCTTAGTGAGACATTAATATTCCCTTTCAGCCAATGCTTAACTATTTGACTTTTGATTATATATCTAATCTATTTACTTGTTAATTAAGGGTATATTTATTCAAATTGACCTGAAATTTTTATTTTCTTAATTTGGCGTGACAAAGCCACTTCTTATTCTTCATTTGCAGGATCGTAGAGCCCCTAAGCGAAGAGTGAGCATGTGTAAATAGCATCAAAATGTTCAGAGCCCATGTGTAAGAATACTGCTGCTTTTGATAAAACAATTAGGCTACCTGTCAGTTGGTCAGCTGCTCATCCTCGAGGAGGGTCACGTAAATGTAATGTCAAGTGCAGAATAAAATCTTTTCTGTAATTCATGGGCTAATGATGTTTGGAGAGTGTCGCGTGGAATCAGTGGAGTGCTGCTGGTGTTCTCTCTGCTCGAGCTCATCGTCTCTATCTGCACCTGCAAAGCCTCCTGCACAGCCTGCTGCCTCCAATAAATATGAAATAAATATGAAATAAATACACTGTGACTGTCTGTTGTTCTCTTGTTCATTCAACACCATGTGTTTTCTTTCTTCAGTCCTGTAAGTGAGCAGCCACACAACATTCACTGATTCATCCCTAGATTTAAATGACTTTGCTTCGTATCTGTATTTGATTTTTTTTTTAGCATGTGGCGTCATGTGCTGCTTTCTGAGACCTTCTAGCCTGCTTCTGTGGAAGTGATGTTTAGATTCAACAGGTCTGGCAGTAATCATGCCCGGGTTGATTTAGTAGCTAAGGGGTCAATTCCTTTTTTCACATAGGGCTGGACAGCATTTTTCTACAATAACTGAATCATTTTATGTTTACATGGGTTATCCTACTGTACTATTAAACATAGTTTAATGATGTGAAACATTCAAGTGCAACAAATATACAAAAATAGAAGAAATTTGGAAGGAACAAAAAAATTTTAACAGCGGTATTGCTAGTGAGTGGAATAGGAAGTGGCTACACTGGGGAGAAAATTAGGGGGCAAAAAAAGAAACATCTGCAGAAAAATGGCATATTTAAGTGAGCTCTCTGTAGACTTTTATTCACTTAGAAAGTCTGCTAAAAGTGTAATTTGAACAAGGGTGTTCAAACTTTTGCAATTTTGCATTATGTTTTTATATGTAGCTGAATTCAGAAGTGAGTGGGCTGTAGAAAAACTTAGATGACAATAAAAGCATTCAGGTCAATCAGCCACAACCCCACCCCCGCTCACAAAAAACATCTCTGTAGTTACTTTCCACACCAGCAGTGGTTTCCTGCAGATGAAGATCACTGAGCTAACAGTAACAGACTTCATCATCAGGTAAATAGCACTTTTGTTTCATTCTATTTACTACAGTTCTAATATTATTCTAAAGATAAAAACATTTCTAATGCTGATAAGCTTTTGTGTGTGTGTGTCTTTGTGTGTGTGTTAAAACATAAATGACTAATTTGCTAATAAATGCATTTATTGTTTCAACCAACAAACTGTAGCTGGAAATCTCAGGGAAGTGATTTAATTTTTAAATTGTAAAATGTAAAAATGCCATTAAACATTGATTTAAAATTGATTAAGAATCCTAGAAATGATTTATGAAATTAAATTGTCACTAAAGTGAAATTGTTGTTGAGAAAAGGTTTAAAAGTTTAGGCTGAAAATTGCTTCATTGTCCCCAAAAACGTTTTTAATCTTTTTTAATACTCATTGATGTCAAAGTTCAAACAATAAAACACAGACATCCAGCAACATCAGTCACGTAGATTTTGTTCATACAGTCATATGCAATAATTTGGGCACCCTGGTCAAATTGCATGTTTTGCTAATTTTCTAAGTGTAAATAAATGAAAACATCCTCTGCAGAGAACTTCTGCACTTTTTAATGTAGATTTCAATTGCTGTATATTTGCTGAAGTTAATAGAAAAAATAAAATTAAACTAAAATAATAAAAAGTGTCCTGTGGAAGTTTTGTTTTATTTTTTGTAATATGGTAAACGAGCAAATGAATAGAAATTGTGCACTAAAATTTACAGTCAAATTATATACATACATAAGTGTATTCAACGTAGAGGACATGTTAACTTATTTTCACTTAAAAAGTCAACAAAATATGTTGGTAGCCTCTTATTCTCCAGAGTGTATTTTGGTTCTTCCATCTGAATTTACAGAACCAAATTGTAAGGCAAATTATTCAGTAACTGCATGAAATAAATTTAATTTTTTTTTATTTACTTATTTGTTTTAAAAGCTCCCCTCAAATTAACAGAACATGTGTTTTATAATCATATACATATTGCTATATGCTTACAATTTACTGCTGAAAGCCAAAAATCTTAGACGCACTTTGTATTTTTTTTTATTATAAAAAACACCATCTGTTTATAGTTTATAGCCCAGATTTGTGGAAAAATGGGTCAACTTTCAGTAGACGAAAAAGCCTTCAGCTTCTTTTATTATAAGGGTTTAAAATTACGTTACTCGTCTATTTGACTGGAAAGAAGACAGTTACATCTCTCATATGACACCCACCTTTTGTAACTTACGAAATATGAAAGTTATGAAGAATATGATGAAGTGCATTTTTGAACCACCAGTGGTTCCAAGGAGTTTAAGAGGTTAAGCGGGGGGTCCAAAACATTTTCTTATGACTATATTGTTCTTTTCTGAAATCGCACTATTTCCGTGTATTTTCTCATTATTGAGAAGAATTGCATGCAGAATTGGATCTTTCTGTGAGCTACTGTGTTTCCTATCACTGTATAAAAGAAGCTCTATGCTGCCCTTATTGTTGAAGGCACGGCAACAGATTTAGAGCTCCTTTTATATCACTATGGAAACGCATATTGATCTGCTTCATCAGAGTAAAAATAAAAGGCCAGTGAAGTGTGTCGTGGTCATGTGTTTACTTGTTTAAAATGTGATGGAAACAAAGGTTATTAGATGATGTTCTTCATATATCAAAGTAAATATGATGTCACATTGAGACAAATACATGAGAGAAGAATGTTTTTAAAGGCAGAAGTGGCTGCTTTGTTTGTATGCATTTAAAGATTGACAATGTTATTACTTGATCTGTAGTTATAACAGGATAAAAGTGAATCAAAATTCAGATTCATTAAAAGCACTGCCAGATTTATCGATTTACCATAACACGTTTGCTCATTCATAAACAAGGATTACAGGCAAATTTAACCACTTGTGCAATGTGAGACGTTGCTGTGCTTTTACCCCATTTACTTGCATCCATTTCAGCATCAGGTGGCACAGGGTCTCAAGAGACCCCAACTGCACAAATACAGTGTCCCAAACAACAGTTTATTATATACCATTTATCTGAGGTAATTTGATATCCCCCTGCCTTACTTCTCAAATTTTAATATTAACTCATTCTGTAATAGGTGCATCTCTTCGTCCATCAATTTGGTCATCCCATGATGACCTCACTCCTAAAAACTGGTTTCAACAGGTTTTTACAAGCCTGCTCTACCTTTCAAGGTCAACTTGCCCCTCTCTTCACTGGGTCAGTAGGTACACACAGGCCTGTCTTTGAACCCAGTGGCTGTCCAGTGTCTAGAATCTCCTATGCAGACAGACTAAGGCCTACCCTTTGTGAGAAAATTAATATTCTTTGTTAGCCAATAACAACTATTCGGTTATTGATTACAATATCTAATCTATTTGATTACTAATTAAGGGAATATTTATTCAAAATCTCCGTCATTTCCGCCCTTTTCATGGTTTACAGTGAACCTTACAATTGCTTAATGAGTTTAACGTACCAAACAGTGAGTAATGCTGAATTTCATATTATAAATGTTGAATGAGTAAAATAATATCAAAATAAGTGAAGAAAAATTAATAAAATAAAACTTTTACAAAAATGATTACTGATTAAGGGAATATTTATTCAAAATTTCCATCAATTCATTGAATTAATATTCAATAGTAACAGAACCACAATAATAGACACAATTATTCAATCAAATTCTAATTGTGCTGAAATTTGAAATACCAAAATGTGTTGAATCAATTCATAATCATTAATCAAAAAGAATAATTATGGCATTAGAAATGTAATCCTCTACACTCTCAGAAATAACAGTATAAAACTGCCACTGGGGCAGTACCCCTCTTGTTACTGGGGTGGGACCCTCAAGGGTACATCTCAGTACCTTTAGTCAGGAAACATAACTGAACCATAATCTCGTCTCCAGCCTTCTTATTTGTCCTGTTTTAAAACTTGAGGTTATGAAAAGTAACAAATATATACTTTCCACCTGGAAAAACTTATTTAAGGTGCACAATTGGACCTTAAAACCACTGCTGTACCTTTGAGAGAACATTTACATTGTTTGTACCTTAATGAACGAAAAATGTACGTGCACAGAACCTTTATTTCTAACAGTGTATAGACTGCACTGCAATGATTTTCTTAGAATTAACTGACATTTATTGGTGTTTAATTATTACTTATAAATATTTTATTTCTTCCAGTACAATAAAATAAATCATAGAACAAGTGAGAACACTCATTGATCATAGTTGGCAAAGTTTCCATCTTTCAATGCCGGAAAATCTGATTAATTTCAGTAAATTTCACACTGACTTTGTTGTCATTAGATTTCATACAGGTCTGTGTTCAGGATGGCCTCCAGTGTTGGACCTGTTGAAAACACAAGAAACGGCTTCACCATCGTGACCCAAGTGGTACCAGGAGGAACAGAGCAATATGGCCTCGGGACTGCAATCTCCACTGGAGGCCCAGTTAAAAAACTTCTGAAAGGAGAGCCGAAGGCACTGGGGGTAAAACTGTTCTGGCCTAGTTTTGTTTAATATTTACACTGGGCATGTTTACATGTTACTTTGCTCTGATTGTCTCTTGTTCTCACAGACTGTCCAGATAATGATCGGGATCATGACGATCTTATTTGGCATTATTAAAACGGTCTATGTCCCAAGTGTTGGTGTCATTAGTGGTGCCGTCTACTGGGGATCATGTCTTGTAGGTTATTTTGTGTATCCTTCGTATTCCTGTAGTTCTCGATTGTAGTTTTATTCAGACTTGATAAAAATAGAAAAAAATTATCTAATTTTCAGACCTAACTTTCATTCTTCTTCTTCTTCTTCTTCTTCTTCTTCCTCTTCTTCTTCTTCTTCTTCTTCTATGCTAGTATATCACCTCAGGTTCTTTGTCTGTTGCTGCAGGCAACAAAGCTAATACCTGTGCGGTAAGTAAACACAGCCTGTATAGTATTGTTATCATATTAGTGAGATTTCATTCTTAATTAATAAGCTTGGAAAGACAAATGCTTAAATAAAGATAATGTTTAAATAAAGTTTAAACTCAATGGCAACTTTATCAGAAGCCCCTCTCTTTCACACCTTGCTGGTGTACAGTTATAAACTCTAGCCCAGCTACTGATTCACATTTTGCTTCTAATAAAGTGTGAATAAAATATTTCAAGTGAAATTTAATGTCCAGGTATTATATATATATATATATATATATATATATATATATATATATATATATATATATATATATATATGTATATATGTGTGTGTGCGCATGTGTGTGTGTGAGTGTGTGTGTGTGTGTGTGTGTGTGTGTGTGTGTGTGAATTATTCTGCCTTTTACGCTGTTGTCTGTTTCTCCTCTCGTGTAGGTGAGAAGCTCTCTGGTGATGAATACAATCAGCGCCGTGGCTGCAGTAGTAGCCATGGCTCTGCTGTCTACTGACATAGGCTTACAGCTAACTGATATATATTACAGATGTTCATACGGGTATCATTCAAGTTCATACGGGTCTTCTTATGAACAGAGCGAGCCGTGTGAAGCTGTGTGGGTGTGTATCTCTCTAGTCAAATTGCTCTAAACGTGCTGCCAGTTTAATTGACAAATTTTGTCAATGTTATATTTGGTTATACTTTACATTAGGGGCCACGAATTAATTCATAATAATTCACTAAGTAATTAAATGCTCGTTATTTACATGTTGATTAATTACTCATTGAGCATTAGTCCATAGATAATTTACTCATTTATTTTGTACTGACTGATGATTATTACACACATAATAACCTGATTAGTGTGTTCACTCATATAAATTAGTAACATGAGAACCAGAAAGTACTTCATGTGAGAAATGTGTTATCGTTGGGTTCAGCTTTTTCTCATGTAGCAAAGATTCTTCAGTGGAAAATAGACTCTTTTCTGCAGTTAACAGGTAAATGTTTTTCAGGGTCAGTCAGGTGGAATCAGTGGAGTGCTGCTGGTGTTCTCTCTGCTCGAGTTCATCATCTCCATCTGCACTTCTGCGTTCGCCTGCAAAGCCATCTGCTGCGCTGAATCTCCGGTCAGTGAGACGCCTTTGTTGTGTTTTTAAATATTTGACTGACAGCTGAATGTTCATGAATTGTTCTTTTTTGTTACAGACCATGATTCACCTCAACAATCCTGAAAGACGCCATCTGGCTGTAAATGTTTAAAATTTGAAAGAATATTTCAAAAGAGGAAACTATTTTTCTGAGTGAATTCCTCTTATGTTGTAAATGTATGTGTGTGAAGTTCTGAAGCTATATTTCTTAAGTCCTATTTACGTCTTCTAAATTCTTTTTTTATAGTAAGTCCTACATTCATTTCTGTTCAGGGCTAAATTTTTTGACTGTTAAGTTATAAATTTAGCTAATTTTACTCATGTTTTTGCTGTTCAGCTCTAAATTTATGTTGTGCTTTGAAGTTTTAAATTCATTCCTTTGATGTTCTAAATGTATTTTTGTTAAGTTTCAGATTTATTTCTGTTAAGTCTTAATTTTTTTGCTATCTTCTAATTTTTTGTGTTAAATTCTAAATTGATTGTGGTTAAGCCTTACATTACATTTCTGTATTTTAAATGCTACATTTATTTTTTTCCCAAAGTTTAACTGTAGTTTAACAAATTTAACTTAGCATACATTGTAGCAGGAAAAACACCCACACCACTTACACACAAAATAATGTAGAATCATGTATGGGTTATTTAGATCAGTCAGTCACAGCTGCCCACACATAAACAGGTCTATCAAAACCTCCAGCAGTTTCTTGATTAGTAAAGATTTTTTTTGTGTTTCCTTTTGTGTGTTTTGGTTCTGGTATTATTCTAAAGCTAAAACATTTCTACTGCTGATCTACTGTGTGTGTGTGTGTGTGTGTGTGTGTGTGTGTGTGTGTGTGTGTGTGTATTTGTGTGTGTGTATGTGTGTGTATTTGTGTGTGTGTCTGTGTGTGCGTGTGTGTGTGTGGGTGTGTGTGTGTGTGTATGTGTGTGTCTGTTGAAGTAATAAGTAAAGTGATCTCAGAGAATTAGTGATTTGTAATGGAATATTTTAGCTCCCGGTCAGTGATGGGTCAGCTTCTTATTTTGGAGCAAAAGCTTAGTTTTGTGTTTTAGAGCAGATTTTTTGTCCAGCTAAAACTTTGAAAGGCCTGTTTTGGACCCTGTGTAAGTTTGTTAACCTCCCTGAGGGGTGTGTTTCTTTATTGCTTCCACAAACACTAAAATTGGCTTCAATGTAAAAATGCACACACTACAAAAGTAAAACTGAACCTACGAGTGTGGGGTTTGAGGGATGTCATATACTGACAACTGTCCCCCTCATTTTTAAAATGATTATTTTGCCCCGGCATTATTTACCGAAAGTTGCAGAGAAGAATTTGGCTGGCTTGACAGTCTGCAAAACTAGGCTCAACTGGTCTTGTTCTAATATTTGAACGAAACCTCAAAAGGATGAGCAATAAAGAATGTTTTAGAGGCTGTTTTGCTGTTGTTTGTGAAAGGGATCATTATGAAGGTACGAGTAAAAGAAAAAAATCTTCTAGTAGTAAAATCAAAAAAGGAAAAAAATGGCATAGAAGGTAAGACCACAACTGGGGCATTTAGGCCAGTCAGCCACATCTCCCACCCACAAAGTTTCCAAATCAGCAGGGGTTTCCTGCAGCTGAAGAGCACTAAAGTAACAGCAGCAAAGTTCATCTTCAGCTAAATAGTATTTTGTTTCTCTTTGTTTAGTTTGGTTCCAGTATTATTCTAAAATAAAAACATTTCTAATGCTTAACTAATTGTGTGTGTGTGTGTGTGTGTGTGTGTGTGTGTGTGTGTGTTAAAAATACTAAAATGTTTAGATTACTAATGTATTAATTAATGCAGTGAACAGACTGTAGCTGTAAATCTCAGATGAGTGGCTTAATTTGTACATTAGAATTTACCAAATGTCAAGACATACATCTTTACAATGTTTTTAATTTGGACAAAAATATCCTGCTAAAGACAAAGGATATTCTTCACCTGCACTGTGGAATTAAGATGATACTAAAATGAAAATAGAAATATTATATTATTATTGGGGAAATATATTAAAAGTTTAGGCAGAATTTTTTTGTCTCTCAAATTTTTTAATACAATGTCAAAGTAATGTGTTCCTTCCAGCAGCCAGCACTATTAGTGGCGTTCATACTGTCATGTCTGGGCAGCCTTGGTTGAATTAAGGTTTTGTTGATTTTCTATGTGGAAAATATAAACTTCAAAATAAAAGATTAACTTCAAAAGAAAAATATTAATTAATGTAATTAATTGTTGTTTTTTTCTGAATTTAACATATCAGCAAAAATGCTACTGTATTTCCTATAACAGTATAAAAGAATCTCCATGCTGGATGCACTGTGATAGTTTCAGAATGCCTTTCACATCACTACCGAAATGCTTAATGACCTGCTATACCGAAGTAACAATAAAAGGTCACTGAAGCGGCAGCACAGTACAGTTCTATGTAAATGTTTGTTTAAAGTGATAATTTTGATGCAAACTAAATAAAAATGGAGGAATTTTCAGCTTTGGTAGCTCATATTTGTTTTATATCAAAGTAAATAGGATTTCACACTGAGAAGTCATGGAGAAAAATATATTTAAATGCAGACGTAACTAGAATCACTTTATAATATGATTCCTTAGAAAAATAAATAAAAATAAGGTCTAATTTGCGGGACAAAAAACACAAACACAAAGCTGCAGGGCACAACATTCCATCCAGATCGTCTTGTGGTGCTGGGCCTAACAGGATGGATGGATGGATGGATGGATGGATGGATGGATGGATGTTTTATTGATCCCAAAAGAAATTGAAGTGCGAGTAACTCTTCTTTGTGGACATTGTTGGTAATCGGGAGTGATTATATGTGTTAAACTGTTCAAAGCAGTGTTTGCTGGTCATTAACTTGCTTTTGAGTTTTGCTAAAAATGAGTGAAACTTTTTACTACTGAAATATTTTGTAAAGTTTTGATAGTGACAAGATGGAATGTTCAATCATATGTTTTAGTACAAATCAGATTCCAAAAAAGTTGTGACAATAGGTGAGATGCAAATAAAGACAGGAAGCAGAGATTTATAAATCTACTTTGACTTGTATTTGAACAAAAACAATACAAAAACGATATATTTCATGGTTTATCTTATCAACTTGTTTTTTGCTTCGTGTTCATTATGAAATGCATTCATTCTGAAGTTGATCCCTGCAACACATTCAAAAACATCTTAAACAGGTGTTGATATCAGCCTGGAAATGAAAGAAGCATCCAAGACAGTCTGAGTCCTTTATGATCAAGGATGGTTGAGGCTTGCCATTTTGTGAAAAATGCAAAAAATCCAATAGTCTACATATAACATTCCTCAGTGAGAAACTGCATATATTTTTCTGTTTCACCCTCAACAATGCAGAAGATCATACAAGCAGGTATGTTTCTGTGTTGCATATCAGCATGTGGGCTCAGGAATTTATTAACAAATTGTTATCAATAAACACTGTTCATCGCTGCATGCACAAATGCAAGTTAAGACTGGACTATGCACAGTGGAAGTCATATATCAACAACATCAGAAACACTGCCGACTGTTAACAGGTGTCGCCCATAGCCTACAGTTTACCCTTTTAAATACAGCCTAGCGTAGCTGCTGGTTTGGAGATAAACAGTTGTGAACGGCTGTGATACAAGAAATCTAGTCTGATACAGGTTCTTCAAAAACTCTGGACAGTGATTCTCTCGCGCTGTCGTTGTTTAAGCTGACTGGCCTGATCTGATCCCTCCCCATGTCCCCGCCCTCTGTGTGTGTGTATGTGTGTGTGTGTGTGTATGTGTCGCTCTCTCTCTACCTCTCTCTCTCTCTCTCTCTCTCTGTCTGTTTACACCTTTTAACATAAGCTAGAGTCCAGGACTCACTAAAATTACAGTATTAATTAAGCAATCTACTCATAATTTTGACTATAATAATAATAATAATAATAATAATAATAATTGTTTTTTTTTCTCTTAAATGAACTTAATTAAACGGTAACAACCTCTGCACAGTCTTTCAGGGTTTCTAAAATACTTTATTGGAAACAGATAAACTAGAAAATCATATATAATTATCTAACCATGAAATGCATGCAGTTTAATGTAAACCTTGTTCCTTACTCAGTTCACAGAAAGGTGTGTAAGTGTGCACAAGCAGAGCGAACTGTGATCAGTCTCAGCTCTCTGAACTTTTTTCCCACATAATATCATGTTTTGCTTTAGTGTTTTTCTGTGCAGATTGTTTCCAATGACGCAGCCAAGTCAGCTCAGAAATATTTTTAGGTTGTGAAAATATAAAAATATAAAAAAGTAACTAAGTAACTCAGTACTTAAATAGTTTTTCAATAAACTACTTATTTACTCTTGCTTGAGTAATTTTATTTACTAATACTTGTACTTGAGCAAATTATCACAACAGTAACAGTATTTGTACTTAAGTAGGGATTTTTAGTACTTTTCACACCCTTGCAGATAGTAAACACTCACTCATGTCAGGTGTTTTTCCTAACACATTAAAAACTGCAGCTGTAAGGTCTCTCCTAAAAAAAGAAAAATCAAGAAGTCTATTAACTAATTTCAAATCTAAATTGAGAAAATTGTCTTCAGGCAACTTACTGGTTTTCTGTCCTTAAATAGCTGTCTAGACAAATTTCAGTCAAGATTCAGGCCTAATCATAGTACTGAGACTGTTCTAGTGACATTCATTTAAATACAGACTCTGGAAAAATATCTGTTTTATTACTGCTCAAACTCAGTGCTGCCTTTAAAACCACTGACCATAAAATTCTCATATATAGACTTGAGAACTAGGTTGGACTTTCTGTCCTAAAATGGTTCAGTTCATACCTGCAAGGAAGGAGCTACTTTGTTAAAATAGAAAATAATGTTTCTGAGAGAGTGCCAGTGAGCAGGGTTCAATTCTTGGGCCACTCTTATTTATTTTGTACATGATTCATCTTGGCCAAACACTGCGAGATTATGCAATGTCTTACTACAGCTATGCAGATGACACTCAGATTTACTTTTAGAGCTCTAAAATCTGAGAAACTAGCACTTAAGCTTGGTGTACTAATGGATTTGGATCTCAGTTTTAGCAGTCATGTCAAAGCAGTCTCTGAATCAGCATTTTAACACCTTAAGAACATCAAAAAGATCCCAGATGTTTTGACGAAAGCAGACCTGGATAAACTCAACCATGCCTTTATTTCTAGTGGAATTGGTCACTGTAATTGTCCCCCAAACTAGACTCCCGAATAAGACAAACAACTTCAGCTGATTCAGAATGCAGCTGCCAGAGTTTCACTAGGAGTAAAATATGGGAACACATCTCCCCTCCATTTTAAAATCATTACACTGGCTACAAATCTGTTCCAGAATAGACTTTAATGGGCTAGTACTGATCTATAAATCACTTAATGGTGCAGGAGTAGCATATTTATCTGATCTG